TAATATGGGCACAATATAAGAACAATCAATGACTTCCTATAAATTGATATTTTTAGATTGAACAAATATTTTGAATCTAAAACACCATTGAGCATAAGGGAAAACATTGAATTTAGGAGGAATACTAAAATCATAGCCTAAACAAGATGCATCATTCATATCCATAATTTGTAAAAATATGCAAGTAAGATACAAATAAAATCAAAACAAGATTAGCATAAAAAGATAACTTGGATCTTTAACTCAAGGTGATTAGACCTTAAATCAAAGAGCATCAAGCTCTGATACCAATTGTTAGACCCTAGAGGGGGGTGATTAGGGTCTTATGCTAATCTAATCCGATTTTATGCCAATTTAAAACTAATTAATAAGTTATCCTAGCAAGTATGAAATACAACAAGATATATGAGCTAGGATAAACAATATGAACAAATGAATGTATCCTAGCAATGAGATATTACAAATATATGAGCAATGATATATAAACTAACACAAGGGTAAAATAAACAATCTACAAAAGAGATAGGGGAATTTGAAGAGCAATACACAAAGGCGATATAAGATATGAATACAAGAATAAGAACGCCAATGCAATCACAAAAAAAAAAAAAATATGATCACGGAGTTCGGTCTAACCACTTGACCTACGTCTTCGCTCCTCACCTCGAGGAGATCTCCACTATCACAACCGAGTTATCTACGTTTACCCGAATAACGTTTACACCACACAATACGGTTTTCTAGTTTACCGAAAACTCTACAACTAACACACTCTTGTAATCCCACTCTACACCCTCTCAAGTGTTGAACTAGACGTGTCTCCCTCAAGTGCTCGGTTACAACCTCTCCCAAGGTTCGACAACCGACGCCACTCCTCTTAGGATGATCCCGACTCTCGCCACACACTTCTCTCGTTGTACAAGTGTATTACAAAGTGATTCTCAAAATAAGGCACAATTACAATAAATGATTTGTTCTCTAATATGGATGAGAACACAATGAAAGCTAACACTGAATTGTTACAACTCTCACCAACCCAAATATACTATGTATGAAAATACAATAAGCTCAATGTAGGTGTGTGTAACAATGAGATATAAATCAAAACTAAACTCAATATAATTCTATCTTAATAACAATGATAATCAAATATATAAAAAAGACTAGAAATAGAGTTTAGAAAACTTCTCAATAGATGAAGAGGTAGAGGGAGAATAGTTGGATGCTCAAACACCAATAGATGATCTCCTCAAGCTCTTGTAGAATTGATTTCACAAACTCAAACTTCCAAATGCTTAAAAGATTCTTAAACACACTTAAATAAAAACTTAAACCCTTGATGAAATTCTTTTAAACTTGGTTTAAAAACTTCTTGGATTGCATATGAAGGATGAGAGCAAGGGGGTATTTATAGCCTCTCAAAACCTTAGCCAAAAATCCAAAACAAAAGACCAAAAAACCCCACACAAAGAGCTGCAGAAAATAGCCGTTGGGATTGAAAAGACAAAGCGCCGGTCGACCCCGAGCCACTTTCAAACTCACAAAATTTCCAGAAACTTGGCGGTCGACCGCGAAAAAAAACTCAAAAAATTGACTCTAGATTGCGGACGGTCGACCGCCACGGGTCGACGCATGTAGCACGGTCGACCGTGGCGGTGACCGCACTGCAGCACGGCCTACCGCACTGTAGCACAGTCGATCGTGGCGGTCGACCATACTGTAGCACGGTCGATCGTGGCGGTCGACCACACTGTAGCAACGTGCACAAACAATTTTCAGGGTTTGACAGATTCTGGAAATTTACGTATCTGATTTTGTAAAATCAATTATAAATAGTAAATCAACTCCAAAAATTATAAAATGTTGAGAGAAGATTCTAGAGATGTAGTAGAACATGTTAGAGAAATAATTTTTGAAAAATAACTTCCCAGTTGAGAGAAATAAATATTTGAACACGGATAAACAGTTTCTAAAAAACTACTAAAAACTCGTTTTTTTAAATTCAATTGAAAATAACAAAACAACTCCAAAATTAGTAAAACATGGGGAAATGTTTGTATATATTAATATAAACATGTAAACAAAGAAATTTTTCAAATTGCATTTCCCAATTGTGAATACGCATCTGTTTTGTAAAAACATGCACGGACACATGCATGTACATGAACAAAAAAACTTGATTTTTCCAAAAACGAGTTCAAACAACTTGGAAACACTTTAGAATGTATTTGTAGACATTATATGAGATATAAAAATAGTGTGAACAAGTCTTAAATCTATAAACACAATATTTTCTAAATATAATAGAATATGAAACAAACAAAAGTGTATATGAAGATATATATTGTTTCATATCTATATAACTAAACCAAAACAACTTAACCATATGAAAACAAACATGTATATATATAAATATGTATTTGTTTCATATTTAAACTTGAAAATCAAAACTTATATATATATATATGACTATATATATATATAACCAAATATGTGTATGTGTGTATATGATTGATCTTAGAGTACCAACACACATAATATATAAACCTAAACTAAATTACCCAAGCTTGATCTTGATCTTCAATAAGCTTGACTTGGTACACTTGTGGAAGAAGCTTGAAATTGAGTCTTTAACTTTGAATTGCGTAAGCTTCACTCCATAATTCCGCCAACCTCCATTGGATATGATCATGAATGCTCGATTCCATCCATCCTCCAACTCGTTGTTTGCCTAGAATAAATACAAAAACACAAATACTAGACAAACAACATTGTTTGCCTAGAATAAATACAAAAACACAAATACTAGACAAACAACATTAGAAGTAAATTGTTTGTTAAACATCATAATACTAGACAAACAACATTAGAAGTAAATTGTTTGTTAAACATCATCAAAACAAGAAGGCCAACAAATCCCTCTTACTTTGAAGTATGAAGTTTGTGATTTTAATTGCCTTTTGTTTTAGGATTAATATTTTTGGTAGCTTTGTTAGACTTACCTACGTGCCATATCTTATGTTTGTTATTGTTGCTTGCAACTTACGATTTCTTAATGAAGTGTTTTTTTAGAGATTTTAGGACTTATTTGTGAAGCATTAATCTAATCTGGTAGGTACAGTCTTCCTCACTGATTAAACAATAAAGTAAAAAGGAATATTAAATGTTTGATAAGTTTTTAGATATGTTTCTTTTCTGATATGAGATTGGAATGTAACTAATAAACCATATCTCACAATGACGAATAATACCTCTATATTCTTTTTTTTAATCTTCAAAATCTGTCTGATGTCTTTGGCTTTTGTTGGTTTCTATTACAGCATTCCTAATTTCTTTAATAGTTATTGTCTTTGCTTCTTTACTAATTCCGAACAAACAAGTGAATAGGGTATTTATGTTTCTAATTTCCAAATCCAACATTTTACTTCAATAATTCTTGTCTTTGCTTCTTTTCTTGGTCCAATATCTCTGGTTTGCTATTACGTAGTCGACATAATATTCTTAATTGAATACATATATACACATTCCTACCATTTCTGAATTTCTCATTCAGGGTGTAGTAAATACTAAATATCAGTGGGTTAACCTTAAACTTTAGCTCAATTTTAAATTTCTACTGCTGCAATAGATTTTGCGAGAAAGTTGAAGATCCCCATGAAGTAGTTCCAAGAAATAAATTTTCCCTGTCATGTTCAAACATATGGAAAAAGTGTTACAATCATTCATGTACTATAGATAGTATCATTCTTTCACAAGAACTATAAGGACTCCATACCTTCATTCATGTACAGATATGAAAAGGCAACAGTACAAAAATTCACTCCAGTATTTCATATTAAACTATTTATAGACCCACTAATCTCAGATAACAGTTTATAGCACCACGTGTAGAATGCGTAAATGAAACTATCTCTTCATCATAACGCACATTAGTTTTTATGTGGGATTAGTCAATAATTTGCATTGAATCATTCACGTTACATCATCTAAAGTTATTTAGCAAATTAGGTCTAACTAATATGTTAGAGTATCATTCTTTCCTAGCATATATCCAACCACATAGATGCCAAGATGAACCTATGTGAAAATTCCTATGAAACTGAACTATGTAAAAAGGGCACGAACAACCACATATTATGAAGATGAACTGAAATGGACCGAAAGTGAAAATTACCTTTACTGATAAGTACTTTCTCCACCTTTCGCTATGTGGCAATGAAGCAGGAATTAGCTGATTCATTCACAAATAAAGCAACTTTAGGGACGGTATAATTCGTGCATTAAAACAAATGACTACCTCTCTATGGTAATTAAATTACTATAATTTAAAGAAGATGCACATAATTTATTGGCATAACGGTAAAATAATTGGCACAAACACGTAAAGTCTCAAGCATCGTAGAGTATACTACAAAGTAGAGTTATTGAGTCCAATCCAAGATCGAGAAAAACTAACTCCTGCTTATATGAAAATTAATAACATAAGGAGAATAAATTATTTCTCTACTTATTGGTGTCTCGCTCACTCAATTGCACTAAACAATAAATTAGTTCCCAACATAAAAAAATGGTGAGCCAAAGGCCTGATCAGTTAAAGAAAAAGAGAAATTTTTATGTACATTTACAAAGAACTTTATCTATGTACATCTTCCAATTCAATCATCGTACCAAGTCTAATGAAGGCTGAACTATCATCCCGTCTAAAAGTTTCTCCTTTTTTTGCATATACATAAATCTATGCAACAAGATTAACCAAGGACCAAAAAAAATCGTAAACAAAAGAAATAACAATCATATCTAAGTATATAATCCGATATCCTGTAAACTTACTTGAGAATTGGATGAACTGAACAAGAACAATTTATATATGATTCATCTATAAAAAATATTCTGTGAATTATATGAAAAATAATTAGGCAAGAAATCACCTAATTTAGGTAAGAAATCACAACCGAAATCACAACCTGAAAAATAACAGAACTCAACTCAACTCAACTTACTTTCTAATCTCGATACAGTTGCTGTTCGAATATTGAAAACCTTGTCGATTGAAACTATAGGAAATCGAGAATTAGGGCAAAATTAAAACTAAATGAGAGGACTGAAGAACTAAAAGGGAATAGGGTGAATTGAGCAGAACTAACGCTTAGAGCTAGGGTTTTGTATAGAGGAGTGAAGACCAAGAAGAAACCTTCTTCAAATCATAGGTAGAATTCTTTTTAAAGTAAAAAATCATAGTTAAACTTTATAAATACCTTCTTCAATGAAATTCCTTCCTGAATGCCAAAATTCTGAAAACTGTGGAGATGAATGCGGAGAAGTCGCGTTGATGACTAGGGTAATAATACTCATCTTTGCAAATTGATGACTAGGAGATCATGGGACGGCGAGAAGGGTAACCGATGAACTCTTGGGCGGAGAGAACAGCGTAACCGACATAAATTTTAGGGCTTCTGATTTCCGATGCTGATGACGAAATCTGTGTAACGCTTATAAGGGAGAGTTTTTCAGGAATGGGACGGCAGAAGGGTAACCGATGAACTCTTGGGCGGAGAGAACAGCGTAACCGACATAAATTTTAGGGCTTCTGATTTCCGATGCTGATGACGAAATCTGTGTAACGCTTATAAGGGAGAGTTTTTCAGGGTGGAGATGAATGCGGAGAAGTCGCGTTGATGACTAGGGTAATAATACTCATCTTTGCAAATTGATGACTAGGAGATCATGGGACGGCGAGAAGGGTAACCGATGAACTCTTGGGCGGAGAGAACAGCGTAACCGACATAAATTTTAGGGCTTCTGATTTCCGATGCTGATGACGAAATCTGTGTAACGCTTATAAGGGAGAGTTTTTCAGG